TGCATTCTGGCATTGGCCAGGAACAGCCTGGGAGAGGCAAGCCTTGGGTGCAAGCTTGGCACAGAGTTTCACAGAACAGGTGCTCATTCCTTCGGTCTGTGATGCTCCCCGAGTTTGGAGATGTGTTCTTGGGGAAAGAGGAAGGACCCTCAACTGGATTAAAGTAGCTTGTATCCATGTGTGTTGAGGAGGCTGCATTAACCACTGCACATGTACCCTGTGGATGCAAAATAAAGAAGTGAGGCCATGCCATTCATTGGACTTTTTCTATCTGTTTAGCATCGTGACTCATTTGATCTTCACTGTGACCCTGTGCAGTGCAGCCTTTTAGCCCTTCTTTCTGGGCATACAGGTGAGGAAGGAGCAATCAGAGCAAATGAAGACACAGAGAGTCAGGACAGATCTGAGAGTTAAACTAGGGCCAGAGAGCAAGGAGCCAAGAGTGCAGGACCAATGACCACAACCTCATCTGGACTCCAAGTTTGTAGGCAGAGGGCTACAGACTACAGTACTGCTGATAACTTCTAGAAGGTATCCTTTAAGAGAATAACCTTGGAGAAGCTCCTCACATTATCCCTGGGAGACAAACTGGGTCTGTCTCCAGACTCCAAATTGGGCACATCCTCATGCGTGTCTATACCGCATTTTGATTCAGGATTTAAGAGACAAAACAGCAACAACAACAAAATCTGTCCAATCATCCACTAGTAATGAACTGCTTCTCTTACAATTCAAAGTTAGAATAAAAAATAAAAAATAGAATTAGGAAAACATTGATTACTGAAAAAACGCATGATCCCCATCCCTATAGCATACAAGCAGACTATCCCATCACCCCAGCTCTTGGTCCTACTCTCAACCAACTGTGAATGCTTTCAAACAGATAGATGACATTCCAGGAGGAAAATACAAAGCATCATCAGAGGTGCCAGGCTTGTCCTGTGTTAATTTTTGATTGTCTCTCTTTAGAGGGAGCTGGGATCTACCCATTGGGCTTTATGTTCCACCTACAGGGTTATTACCCTGAGTTGCCAGAGCCCTGAGTTCCTTATCACCCCCAGTGGTCTCAAGTCATAAATTTCAAGCCATTTTAACTTGGCCAGACAGATTTTTAAGACTCTTATAGACAGCATACAATTAACCATCTCCCGTCAGCTGGAAAATCAGCTCAATTGCTATTCAAGTTCATGTCCAAACTCTTTTACGTTAATGAAAGCACTAGACTCTCTCAGAAGCTGTGGAGACGAGAGGACATCCTCAAGGGGAGATGGAGCCAGCCAGGGGAAGGAAAGCCTAGGCTCATGTCACATGCATACACAAGTGACAAAACACAGTAGTCCCCAGTTGTCTTTACCCAAACTGCTCTATTGGATCAGCTGCATAAGTAAGTCTTACATGATACCAGGCTATACAGTTTGACTGGTCTGTTCTTCCTTTGGAAATCTATGTATGTGTGCAGAAATACATACACTATGGGGACAAAAAGTGACACAGATTGTCAGTGTCCAAGAACACCAGCTTCTGCTCTTCAATACCCTGAGCTTCATCCACATTTAAAGCCTGATTCTTTTCCTCCTCTACTCACCTCTGTCCTTCCTCTCCCTCTCCCTCTCTTGTTTCTCCTCTCCTTCTCCTCCTCTTCATCCCCAAATCTCTCAGGTCTCTTCTTGCTTATACCCTTCCATCTGGGATGACTGTCCGCTACATCCACATACTCACATTCAACCTGCATTTCAACTCTTCCCAGCTCCATGAAGCCTTCTGCTATTCTCCCTCAATCTCATTTTATGCCAATAAGAACTTTCCTTCGGAGCGGAAATCTTTATACTCATAGCTTGTCTTCCAAGATTAGATAGTGTATTCACTGAAGGCAAATCACGTTCATTTATTTCATCTTGATAGATTTAGAATGAATGGAACAAGGTCTTAAACATAGTATGTATAACAGGCATCACATGAATGTTCATACATATGTTGACAAGTATATGGAGATATATTCAAGCGAGTAAATAACACTGGCTACATAGCTTCCTCTGCACATACTTTTTCACGTTGTCCAAGACCAAAGTCATCTTATCCTCCAAATCTTTGTTTCCTGCTAGAGTGGGAGGCCTCATTGCCTATCTAGTTAAAACCCATGTGGCATTCTCAACTCTTCCCTACTCTTCTACCTTCACATTCAATCAGTTCCTAGACTTCCTGATTTTTCCAGGCATTTCCTCACTCCATATCTTTTCTACTGCAGCTCCTCCACTTCAGAAATTCTTCCTTCTGTATTAAAGCATCAGCACCCTTATAGATTCCACTAACCTGAAGTTTACCCTCTTTCTATTCATGCTGCCTAAGGAAGGATCATTCTAACACAATTCTGAGTATGCAATGGTACCTTGGCTCACGAATGTTTGATTGTTAATAATTTGGTTCACAAACAGAAGTGTTTGGTGAAATGTTCTTATTTGCAAACTCTGCATCAGGTGATGAACACAACTATATGGACATCTTTCCTGCATGAACAGAAACGTGTCCATCTTTTCCAGAATCTTGGAACAAATTAAGTTCATGAACAGAGGTGCCACTGTACTGATCTCTTGAGCTGAAGTATTGTGATGAAGTCCAGTCTCTGAAATCCAGCCTGGAGAGCACTCTGTGACCTGGCCTCTTTCTATGCTGACAGCTTTAGCTTATGCCTCATCCGGTTTTGCTCTGTAAAGTGAGAGCAGTGCTGCACCATGCTGCTTGTGGCTCCTTGTTCTTCCTTCTAGCTGGGGCTGCACCATCTCTGCCAATCCCAACCTCTTCTGCACTCATCCTCCAAGTCTGCTGTGAGCGCTCTCCTTCCAGAAGCCTCCCCCTCCATGTCCCACAACACTTTATTGTTACTTCCGTTCTACAATTGACTCTTTGTATTACAATGTTATTTTCATGCCTGTCTCTCCCATGAGATGAAGCCTTCAGAGCCCATGAAGATGATGTCAGTATAAGATGTGATTGAAAAATATAGTGAATATTAAAAAGAATATCACAGTAAAAGACACATGGCTATTCATTGCCTTCAAAATACTGCCCTTTGCTTTGAACACACATATCCACATCATTTTTTTGCCACTTTTTAAAGCAGATCTGGAAATTCTCTTTCCTGTCTTTAGTTGCACTGTCACAGCTGCCTCTATCTCCTAAAACAATTTCAAACCTTTACCTATCACATGCGTTTTGACTTTGGGGAGGAACCAGAAGTTGCACATACCATATCAGGTGAACAAGGTGGATGTGGACACACTGTAATGCTTTTCTGAGCTTTCCTATTGCATGGGGCTGGGCAACAGCCTTCACATATTTTGTAGCATACCTTGAGAAGACATTCACAAAAAGACACTTTCAGAACTGCTTTAGAAAGCGGCAAGAACAAGGGAATACGTGTATTCTCAGTGAGGAGGAATATTTCAAGGGTGATTAAAGGCAATGTGTCTTTTGCTGCAATAAAAATCTTTATTTAAACATACACCATACTTTTTGACCAGCCTTTGTATTCTATTGACATTTGCCACAAGAGCAAAGATGCTTCTGTAAATGTAATTGAGGCAATACGAAACTTCAGTGAAATGGTCCTAATTACTAAGACCATTCCTTCAAAAGATCCCGAAGGAGAACTTTCTCCTCCAAGAGGGGCCAAGACCCTTGTCCAGCTGGTACCTTCTGTCCAGCTCATCCTGGCATGGTCAGGAGACATGATGGAAACCATCAACCCTACTGTACCTCAGCCAGGGGCTCTTCTTATAAGGAGACTTGATTAGTCACGTGTCATTATTCTAACCGCATTTGAAACATAAGTGTTGAGAACTGGAAAGTAAAAATAAAAAATAAATAAACAAACAAACAAGCCACACTGTGATTACCTCTAGTCAAGAAGGAATTTTCAGTCCTCTAAACACTAGAAATCGGGTCTGGGGATTTAGCTCAGCGGCAAAGCGCCTGCCTGGCAAGGGCAAGGTCGTGAGTTCGGTTCCTGGTACCGGAGAAAAACCAAAAAAAAATACAAAAAATAAAATAAACACTAGAAATCTCTGTGGGATTGCAGTGCTTTGTGCCCCTTTGCCTGGAAATGCCAGCAGTAGCAGTGAGAGCAACAGTTCGGAGATCTCTGGAATATATAGGGGAAAAATTACCTAATATCAAAATACAGCAGAATGCAGTCTGGGTCTTGACCTTTTCTTTTTTAAGGAGACTCTATATAAATGTAGATTATAACATTCTCCCTGGGGTTACTCTTCTATTTTGTGACCAAATCAAATAAGAATCTTTTCCCAAAGTGGGTTCTGGGCCATTTGACTTTTGCCACCCCGTCTGCATCGCTTTATCCCATGTTTCTTTCTTTCTTTTTTTTTGGTTTTTCTCCGGTACCAGGAACCGAACTCACGACCTTGTGCTTGCCAGGCAGGCGCTTTGCCGCTGAGCTAAATCCCCAGCCCCTCATGTTTCTTTCTTCACAGTGGCTGCTTCCAGTTGTCACCTCCCCTGGCAGCCACAGTGCAGCTCTCCAGGAAGAGATGGGACATAGTGCAGGAAAAGAGCTTGAGGAGAGGCAGGTCCTGTGAAGATGAAGAAAGGGAAAACAGCTGTACAGTCTGGAGGCAATTAGGCTTGGGTTGTCCTTCTGTCTACAAATCAAAGTTATTATTTATATTTTGTTCAGCTAGATCTTCAGCGAAGCTATACCAAAGTCTAGCTAACCTATAGCAGTGTTTCTGGAGGAAAGAAAATGTATCCTGAGTTCCAAACAAGTTTGAGATTTGGAAAATAGTGTGTGTAAGGTAGAGATTCCATTCATTTTCACTGATAAGCCATAAAATGGAAGTCAACATTTTTCTGCTTTAATATTTTTACATCTTATTGAGCTTGTTGCGAGCCCAAACATTTTATTTCCATAAAAGCTGTTACTGAATATAATGATGTTTGAAAGTAAAATTACTGAAACTATACTCTTAACATCCATTGAAATTTATTTGGCTTTTTTTGATCTGTGGCTACCAGCTGCTTGGATTATTCTGAATTTTAAGTTTTACAGTTATCAGTATCACTGATCCCTTCCGATTATTGATCATAAACACATTCCATAAGCATTTCTTTTGTGATTTCATCTAATTTCCAGGGGTTGAAACACTGAATGGCAAGACAGAACCCAGGTGGTTCTGCCCTGGAGAGCTTCCCTCATATTAACACTGATCTGCCGCTGAACTGCTTTCTATAAGATGTGGTCATTTAAGTACAACTCCAAGTGGCCTTCACATCTGCCTGAAGTTCCTCCATCTTGCTCCGGATACACCAGGCATCATAGCTTTTCATAAGATGAGAGCAGACAGTGAACTGCTCCTCTTTTGGCTGAGAAAAAGTATATTTACAATTACCACCTGTTGGAATTACACTTAGCAGAAATATATGCTAGGTTTCCAGCACAGAAAAAATACTGAACAAAGAAAAGAAACAAGGCCTTTACTCCGGACATAGAGAGATGAAGTCTGCAAGCGATACCGGGTCCTCTGGGGCTAGACAGGGGGAGCTGGGGTTTATAAAGACTCTAGCTAGGGGAGGAGCTTAAGGGGCGGGCTTAGTGACGTAGCAGAGCCTGATTGGGGTTTTCTTCTCTTGCGGGAAGGACAAGAGGAAGTTGTACTCCGGCCTGAGGGGAGGAGAAAAGGAGAGGCTGGTCATTGGGAAGATAAGCTGTTGTTTTGGGCTTCAACCATGTTAGACCACCACCACCATAATAATTCAGCAATTCACACCCTGGCAGAAACCTATCAATATATATTTTGGCATATTAAGCAACAGTATGAGAAATTAAATATTTCTATTTCTCAAAATTAAACAAGAAATTCTTTTTCAAATATGTGGAAAATACTCCCAGAGTGCCCACACTTTATTCTCCCAACCCAAGGGGAGGTCAGGAGCCCTCTTAACAAAATGTCCTAATTTCTCCTCCTTGGGGAGGCAAAGCCTGGCAACGCAAATGTACCTCCAATGATGTGGTTTTCTACTCTGGCAATCCAGTCCTGTTCTTGGGAAGAAGCATTCCGGAGAAACCACAGTAGAAGGCAAATCCTCAGCTGACCCGTGCAACAAAGCAGGGACAGTCTCTTCCCAAGGATACTACATGATCCTGAGCTATCCATTCCCACAGAGCCAAGTGCTTGCTTCCTTTGCCATCAGCAAGGTGGAGATGGGAGAGCGAGAGGTGCAATGGCAGCAGAGAGCACCGAGGTTGCTGTATAAACAAGCATGGAGTGGAAGGGGAACTAGCTGAAGAGGAAAGGGGGAGAGGGATCCAAAACACTCACTGGGCGCTTCAGATGGGTCAAGTGTGTTCTGAGTACTTCGAGCTCATTCCCAGCCAAGAAACGTCCTGATGGGGAAAGGGATCCATTTGACCTGTAAAGAAACTGAAGCCATGGGTGGAAGTTAGGTAGCTAGAACAGCAGGGATGGATTTGAACCCAAATCACCTGGCTCTGATTTTACCCTTGAATCCTACAGCCCTCCCAAGTGCAGCTGAGAAAGCCAGAGAGAGAAAAACCCAACTGGCCAAGTATTAGACTTCAGGGGGGGCTGGGGGAAAAGCCACAGCTAGCTTGCATCCCACAGATGTTAAGGTCCTTGAAGAAAGGCCATGGCTTTTCCCCTGTACTCTACTCCCACCCCAAAACCTTGGATCCTCACCTGCCCCCTTCAGTGGCTTCTCCCTCAATAGCACCAATTACAAGGAGGTTGGCAGTATTAAGTTTCCATTTGTTTTCAATTATACTACACACACTCACACCTCCTCCTTGGTTGTTTTGTAAGAGCTAGGAGGGAGAAATGTGTCACTGGGGAGGTTCTGAAAAGCATGCCTTCCCACCCCAGCACCCTTTCTTTCCCTCTAAGAGTGCAGCCCTAGGGGATATCCCACCAGGTGAGGGACTGAGTCTTTCCACAGTGTAATGGAAGAGGGAAGAGGAGAAATAGGAGAGATCGTAGAGAAAAGAGGGGGAAAGAGGAGAAAGAAGGGGAGGACTAGCATGAAGAGGAAGAAGGGGAAGGGGAGGAGGAAGAGGTGGCCCCCTTGAAGGAAGAACCTTTTCCCATGGAAATGCTTTGTAGCTGGTGCCCATTAGCATCCCTATGCATAATAAGAGCCCAGCCCATTGTCATGCAAATTAATCCAGATGACAACGCTCTCCTCGACAACACTGCCCTAGCACTGGGAAGTTTCTCACACTACCGCAGCCAATACTAACCGGCCTCTGCGCCATCTTTCATTAATTATTTCTCTGCCCTTCGCTCCTCCTGCGAGGTTTGTTCTTAGCAACGTCCCCCCTCACTTCCCAGCTGCTGCTGGCTGCTTTTCATCCTGCAGCCGTTGACATCATCCCCATCCACAAAATAAGGTATCAAGAAAATAACTAAAACTACAGAAACGTCCCCACTTTTGATCAACACCAACCAAGAACAGTTGTACTGAATGGAGAAATGGGTTCACATCCGGCTTTTCTCATGTGGTGACTTCTCTTTTGTTGGTTCCAGTCATGGACAGAGTTTCTCAGTGGTGTCTCTATCCCCAGCAAACCACATTCTCCTGTCACCCACTAGGTCATTCAGGGCCTGATAAGATGGATTCTTTCAGTTTAACTGCACAGGGTGACTCATCCTTGCCATTGTTTGCCCTGTCAACCTTTTGCTCTCAGCCACTGACCAAGTTATTGCCACTTGTCCACATCAGCTGGTTTGAGCTCAGCCACCAGGCCACTGTCACCAGCCGAGGCTAGTTTTTACACTGAAAGCAGTTTTCTGTCAACTACCCTGGGGATCCAAGAAGGGTAAGCCAGGATGACTGCTTCCAAAGGCAGAAGGGGGTGACAGCGGACCTGCACTTCTATGAGGCTGCAGCCACAGACTCTGCATTTCCTTTCTGCTTCTCGACCCCTGAATATCCAGACTTGCTTCTGCTGGTCATAGCATCTGATTCCCGCAGCCCAAACTTAGGAGCTGACCCTGTTACTGCCAGGACTGTGCCTTCTTGGGTACACAGCCTGGCAGAGTGGTTCTCAGGTCTGAAAACCAAGTTCAAATCCCAACTATCTATTGTCTACACTCGGTGTGTCTCAAAATACCCATCTATAAAATAGCAATAACAATTAGACTCTCCTGGTGAATCTGTTTCGGTGTTATGTAGTGTATATAAAGCACTGAAAACAACTCCTGGCACCCTTAGCATTGTAACACATGCTAGCTAGTGTTACTCATTAATTTTCCCACTTCACCTTTACTTGGCTTATCTAGCTAGCTCTTCCCTTTCTAATTCAGCAAATTTCGACCCTTAATCTATTGCTTTCAAACCTCCAGACAGCCCTATCCCAGTTTCTCTTTCTCTCCAAAATATTTTACAACAATGAAATGCAAAATATAATGCAGCACTGTTAAGGTAGAAAACATTTGACACCGGGGTCTGGCGCTGTCCCAAACATTTGACCTGTCCCTAATCCTAATAGTCCTGGTATTTCCACCACACATCTTAGTAGTAGGAGTAAGGAAAGACAGGGATGGATATAGAGCAACATACTAGAAATCAACTTTAGCTCACACATTATCTCAACAACAAACAGGCTTTGTAGCAAGACACAAATTATATGCAAATCCTATGCAAATCTGAATGTAAATACTTTGGGCCCAGCGAGAAAATTCTTGAGAAGATCCCATTCCCTTTCTCCCCCGCTTCCCAAGCTGCAATTTGTTTTCTGATTGGTCCCCTGGAAGTTCATTATAAATATTCAAAAGTGTGGATAATTCCCAGAAGGCATTCATTTCACCTGCTTTTCAAAGGTCAAAGGCTGTGAGGATCTCAGGAAGAGAAAGTCACTGCAGACAACCATTGGACTGACTGGGCTATGTCCACTTGGATCCCAACCCAGTTATGCTAGAGATAAAGCCTAAAGGCAGCAGCTACAAGCTTCAGGGTCTTGGGCTGAGTTGGGCTGGGCTGGGCTGGGCTTGCTCTGGGTAACTTTCATCCATCCTCCTGGGCCCTGCGGCACACACACCACTTGCTTTATCCCTCCCCTGTCAGAGTTTGCTCACACTGTCCTTTCTTAACCAGGTTAGTAAGGAAGCATAGGTAGCAGCAGAAAGTGGGAAAGAGAAAGGTGAAATCATGACTACTGATTTCATCATTCACCCTATGAGATTTTAAACAGGCTCTACTGGGTGCTAGACAGTTCTTACGTATGGCATAGAAAATTTCATCCAAGCCTCTTAGAAGGCAAATGGTCCACACTGAGAAAATTCTGTTCTGAGAGCTTACCTCACTCAGAGTCCCCCTGCAGTACAGTTGCTAAAAGAAAATCCCATAAGTAGGCTACTGTTGTTATATATCCATGATCCCCAGCCCAGCTGAATCCTCAAAATGAGAAATCATGTGTGTTTCTTTTCTGAGCCCATTCTAATGCATGGTGATACCCTACTTTGGCTTTTCCCCAGTCTTCCATTTTGGCAAAGAAGCTGGGAGCCATGCCCACTAAAATTGGACTCACCCACATGTTATCGATCATCTCCTTCTCCTTCTCTGGTGCTCCAAGGCACAAGAGGACCTTCCTGTCAAAGACCCATGGGTCAAGTTTCCATTCACTTCTGGAGACTGGTCCTCAGCATTCAAACAACAGATCAACAAGCATATTAAATAGATTACCTCCCTTAAACACTTAGCAGCATGCCTGCCACTGAGCAAGTACACTAAGGCTTTGCTTCAGTTATACTATCAAAAGCTGAGCAACTTCAGTAGTACCAAGGACAAGCTTCTAAAACCAGTGGAGGGGGCTAGGGATTTAGCTCAGTGGCAAAGCGCCTGCCTGGCAAGTGCAAGGTCATGTGTTCAATTCCTGGTACCGGAAGAAAAATGAAAAAAAAACAAACAAACAAAAAAATAAAACCAGTGAGGTCCCCTTTTCTGTCTAGGCACAGAACTGTGCCATAGAATTTTCTGGGATGATGGAAATGCTCTGTCTCTGCCCTGTCCAATATGGTGGCCAGCAGTGACTTGGAGCTGAATTCTTTCACTTTGCTTCATTCTAATGAACTTAGACAACCATACATCGCTAATGACTTCTGTATTAGCACTGGTTTCAATGGCTCACAAATTTGAAGAGATTGATATTATCCACAGTATGGTTGAGAGTATAATGCCTGATGTACTCTCATCAGGCAAGCAGGTAGCATAGCAGTATCAGTCATGTGAAATGTGTGTTCTTCAAGTTCTCAGAATCTAGGCTAAAATAAATTCACATAAAGGCCCAAAAAGTAAGAGGGAAGGATATGCAAGTTGCAAATGTATGTTTATTTCCAATTTCTCAATATTGAACATTATGCTATAATATATGCCTTTGATCATCTGTAAACTGAAAATAATCAAGATAAATACTCAAGGTTATTGAGACAATGGCATTAATTTGTTTTTCAGTGCCTGGTGGGAGTTCTAATACAAAGTAAATGCTATATAAACAAGAACTATTATTAATCAGTTGTAGTAGTGTTATAAGTAGGGTCAAGATAAGGATCAGAGCCTTATAATCTCATTTTTAAATTAACATCTCTCCTAAGGAATGACAGCAGACTATCATGTACTGTCAGTCATGATTCAGGAATGGAGATTTCTTCCACAGTCTCCACTTCAACTCTTCCTTCCCTCACTGCCTCTGTTCCTTACAAAGCCAACCATCTCCTTCTGAATTTGATCTGCCCTCACACCTCCCCTGTGGGATGGAGACAGAGCAAATATCTGTGCTGAAATTCTAGCTTTTCCCCTTGACAATCCTGTGTCCTCTTGAGTCTGAAATCCACTCTTGTGGGTCTTGTTCTCAACCAGCTGCCAGATTCATGCTGACTGTGAAAGGCTAATAAAGAATGAGGTTAGTCCTCCTCCACTATGGGCTGAATTGTTTCCCCCACCAAGGACTTCACAGAGTGAGAAATCATAACACTGCTGCCTCAGAATGTAATGCAGATAGGACTGTAATGCAGATAGGACTTTAAAGAGGCAATTAAGGTAAAATCAGGTCATTCAAGTAGGTTTTAATTCAGTATAATGGGTGCACTTACAAGAAGACGGGATGGAACACCACACACATACACACAGGAAGCAAAGGAGGACTGTGTGAGGATGCAGGGACAACTCTGCTGTCAACAGTTCATAGGCCTCAGTCCTCTGGAGGCCTTCATCTCAGCCTTTAGAACTATAAGAAAATCAATTTCTGCTATTTCAGCCATTCAAGCTGTAGCACTTTATCATGGCAAATGAAAACACCTCCCAGTCTTTTGTTTTGTTAAGTTTTAGAAACTTCTAGAACACTTTTCAGATCAAATGTAATACATCCGTTCTGGGAAAATTCTGGTGGCAGAGATAGGCATTGGGAGTACACAAAGCTGCCTGTACTTTGCCACTGTTCCCAAAAAGATTATTATTTGTTCAACCTGAAAGCATCCTACACAGGACATAGTATGAGCCATGGATCAGACTCCTAAGAGAGTAGGAAAGACCTGTGAGATATTGGCACCGCAGTTAGGACACTCACATAATTCATTCTGTCCGAATCCAAACATGTTCCTGTGCCTAAAAAGTACTTCTCTCAGTCTACAGCAAAGAAGCAATAAATCCAGGAGCTGAGCATGTCAGGATCAACAGAGCCACCAATCTACCATGGCCAACAATCCTCCACGTTGAATATGGCGTTCTTTCTCTTTGAGCCCTTCCCTTTCTCATGTATTTTTCTCATTCCCTCCTTCCCTCCCTTCTCCTCCTCTCTCCACATCGCATGTTCCCTCTTCAGAGGGCCCATTCTTCACCCCTTTCCCTTCCTTTTTCCCCCTCCCTTCATCATTCCTAGAGTCTCCAGGGGAAGTAAGTTAGGATTAGAGAAGGACACCAAGACGCAGCATTAGAGAGATATGCTTAGAAAGATGGGAAGGAAACTTGACCTCTTTTGCTGTGTGTAGAGTATTTCCACACCTTCACTGGATTCAGAGATGGACTTCATTGGGTTCCCGGCTCCCCTGCCTCACCGGAAGTGTGATAGCCAGGGAAAGGAATTTAGATCCCAGGATCATTTCCAAAAGTCATTTCATCACCAAAGGATATTTCTTCCATGGCCAGGCTTCTACTGCCTCCCTCTTCTTCTCCTCACCACGCTCTGATCACTATCGATAGCAACCCTCCTCAGATACGGGGGTGTAGACAATGCTGACATCCTCTGCTTTCTTCCAGCTCTACCCGGAGAATGCAGAGACCCGAGAAACCCCAAGACAAAGGCAAAGAAAAACCATGGAACTTAGCCCATTTCTTTCCCACTTGTTGCCTGGTTCTCATTTAGCCCCTGCTTGGATTTCCATGGTCCCACTGCCTGCTTTCTTTGAGGACCTGAGCTTGTTGAATAGTCTTCATTTTCCTAAAGGCTCCCTTGTGCCATCAACAAAGACGGATGGTTGGACCCTCTGGCTGCCTTCCATACGACTTCATTTGCAAAGACCAGGAAGGAGGGCAGAGCATCGCCTCCCAACCCCTTATCAATGTGGGGCTGGGGCGGGGAAGGCTAACGGGGCAGAACAAGGGAGGACAGCCCTGAAGCCAGCTCTTCTGTCACAAGAGGCCTGCTTTTGATTCTGCAGCACACACAATACATCTCACCACGCCTGCCAATCGCCCCAGCAGGGGAGGATGGGGGTGGGGGGTTGGGGGGGTTGAAAAGCAAAGGCATCATTCAAGCTGCCTGACCTTAGCCTGCCATCCCCTGTCTGTACGTGGACTGTGCTTCTCTGTCCTCATAATTCACTTCCCCGAGGTGTCACGGTGTGAAGGGATGAGGCATGCTTCCTCATGGTTTCCCTAATCCTCCCGTGTCAAGTAACATATGCATCACTCCCTCACCCTCAACGCAGTTTTGGCAGGTCCTCCACCAACATCTGTTGCCTGAGGCCTGCCCCACGCAAGCTTCGCCTTCATCAGATGACAGGACCAGTAGGTAAAACTCGTCTCTTCCTTCCCCTTCTGCCAGCTCTCAGCTTGGCGTCCCTGGGTCCGGCACTTCAGCCTCCAGTGAGCACCAATCAGGCTAAGAGGCGGAGGCGGCCCCAGGAGTGCGTCCCAAGAGCCATCTCCTTCCCCATCCCCCATCAGAATGGCGCCCTGGTGACCTCCTCGACAACATCAGTAATTTGTCTTGGAGAGCCGCCATACCTACAGCAAACACAGGAAGGATCAGAACACAACATATGCGCAGAGCAACAGAAACATACTCAGGTCTTCCTGGGTCTGAAGGATTACTGAGGGGGAGGAGTGCCAGAGCTGGAGAGCAAGATGAATGTTGAACGAGAGAAACCTCGTTCATTCATCCAGTATTAAAAGGAAATGGTGCCTCCGAACTGGGTGTGTTGAGGTCAAATCCGATATGGGCTTTGAGTCCCAGCCTCTTTAAAGCCCATTGGTGACAGATGTGGACTTTCGCCAAGTCAACCACAAAATAGGATCAAAGGAAGTTGAAAAACAACAACAACTGGGGCTCCCTGGCTCAAGTTTTTTGCTGCCCTTGGAATGTTGGCCCAGTGATCATGATCAGGAAGTAGAAGACAGACTAAGAAGGCTAAAATGAGCTGGGGAAAACGGGAAGGTCCAGCAGACAGACAGATGCCTTTAGGATTTGGAATATTCTTCATGGCAATAGTGGAGCCCAGAACACTACCCAAAGCGGAGACAGATGCCTGGGGCCAGCCCTGCTGCTTAAGGAAGAGCCTTGCTCCCCTTACTTCAAGGAAAAGCAATGTAGAACAAGAATCAGAACACTTTACTGGACACAAAAGTATTAGGTTTCAGATTACAGCTGTGAGGCCATACTAGCTGGGTTCAAATCTAAGCTCTGCCACCTTATATCTGGATGACCCTGGAAAGTCACTTTGCTTCTTTAGGCGGCAGTTTCTCATCTATAAGCATTGATAATAGTACTTGTTTTAAAGGGCCATACTGGTTAAATGGTCTCATATAACATGATTAAAACAATGCCTAGTAACAGCAAAAACTCAGTAAGTGTTACCTACTATCTTGATATTAATCTGTAAGAATAGACACATGTTCTCTAGAATGTCCACCTGAGGAAAGACAAGATAAAAAACACGGTGTGCGTTCTTTTCAAAATTCAAAATTCCTCTCAACTGTCCACCATTTGCAAATGAAAATTGCGTTATACAAATACATGCAAATTTCAAATTCTGTATTCTTCACACCTCAAGTCAGGCTCAGCAACCCATCTGATGGAGGGGGAAAAATAAAGGAACAGGAATACTTGGCTCCGGAAAAAAGAAGTGTCTCAAACACAGTTGATACATTTGCTAGGACTTGGTCTGACACCTGGTTACAACACTGCTATGGCTAGTCAATAAGGGTAGTTAGCAGCAACACCCACTATTTAATTTTCTGGCTGCGCTAAGCCACCAGTGATATATCAGCCATTTGTTCCCTCCTATTCCAAACCACTTCCTTGCTAGTGTTACTGTATAATCCAACAGTCTGGGATACTCAGGGCTTCTCAGCCCAGCTCCCTGCAGATCAACATCCCAGGCATCAGGTTATGGTTATCCTGGAGACCTGAGGGAAAACGACTCTGCCATCCTCACCAATTCCGGGATGAGGTCTCTTTAGAGAGGTCTCTTTAGAGACCTCATCTATGCACAATTATTCCCAGTACTGGGAAGGAGAAGGGATATCCTGAGGGAAAAACTGCATCCCATGTCACTTCCCGGCTGTTTCTTTCTGGGGAGCTCCCTGCGTAAAAGTTGATACCTCTCTCCACAGGAACATCTCTGAGATCAGCAGTGTGCACTACAAGGAGACAATCACAGAATTGAGGGCACACGCCATGCAGTTAGAGCATATTCCACAGTCTCCAACTCCACGGCTGAACAGAGACCTTCATGACATACTTATAGGGGTAGAAAATGTTCAAATAGAAATTTCTCATCTTAGGAAGAAATTAAACAAAATGTAATTGAATGAATGAAACAGTGTTTTGATTTTAAAATCTACTCAAATAAAGCAGCACAAGATGTCTGTGACAAGTAAAACAAATAAGCTTTCGTTGAGTCTCAGCAATCTATCCCAATAGGCTGATGGTAGATTCCTGAAGCAGTCTACTAAAATGAATGCTGAAGCCATAAACCAGCATGAAATTGGCTGTCACTGATTAGTAATGTCTGCCCTATGTGTGGGAAGAAACTGACAGTGTTTAACGATGTCTGCCATAATTCTTGGCCTTGGATGTTACAAAATAAAATGTCTAGTTTTTAAGTATGATCATTTCAAGGAATCTGTGGACAGTTCCTTTAGATTCATGGGCCTTCTTTTCCACTTTTATAGGATATAGAAGGGAGAGGAAAAGGAATAATTCATGTTGCAATTGCTGTTCATGTTTGAGTGACTGTTAGTTAATGTTAGTTTTTATTTATATTGGTTAAAACAGGTATAGAAAGCCCCACTCCAAATGCTCAGTCTAATCCTAGATGGGTAAATAAAAGTTGATTTCTACACCTGTAATAGATTTCATCTTTTGCCTCCCTAAAATAATTCATGCATCAATAAGGTTGACCTTGCCCAGCCTTAACCTGCCTATTGTATTCCTACATCAACACTTGATTCTGATGTCTTCCTGTTCAACACTGAGCTGAAAGAACTCACCTGGAGAGCAGGTGAACTCAGAAGACCTGATCCTAAAGATGGAGTGAGAGATGAGTGTCATGGGGCAGCCTTAGTTTGCACTGATTTAAATAGATCCAAGCACCTCCCTTGTAGATATTACTCTATCTTTCTCTTATCCTTAGAAGTTCCCTTCTCCATGTTATAGAAATGTACCAAAGGAGAAGAGGGGAACATAATCCTGTACCATGGAGTAGGGCTGTGTTCCCCCTTACTTTTTGTGCCCTTCTCTTACTTCCTCTCTTCCTCTCCAGAGAAAGTAAGGTGGAAGAGAAAGATCCTAGAAATGTGAATGAACTCAAAATTTGGAAGTAAAGTTAAGTAGTATTGGCTTTACTTGCAAATGATTGTTTATATTTCTATCTACATTTTAAGGTTGACTTTTGCTCTTCTGATAAAAGGGACCAGTAAGGCTAGTGACATTCAATTCATATATATA